CGCCGCCCGCAGCAGCGGGGGGGGGCCCCAGGCACCCCTGCCCCGGCGCCGCCGGTGCCACCGCCAACCCCGCGGCGACATCCAGCGAACAGCCCCGGGTAAAAATACCCTCTTCTTTTATCCTTTCTTTCTTCCTCCCCCCTCCTTTTTTTTTTTTCCTCTTTGCAATGCAACTGTCACAAGATAACAGCCCACTTGCACGGCACCCGGAGCTGCTGCAATTAATAGAATAAGATGTGCTAATGATGTCCTCGGATTTATTTCAATGAGCAATGGCTTAATTAGAGTCCATTATTCTAAAAATACTCTTACGGCATCTTATCTCATGGTAATTGCTTCAGCTATTTTTTTTTAACAACACACCACAGCACATTTTTTTTTCTTTCAGCAGCATAATAGAAGGGTCCTTTTTTAGATATCTGCATTTATTCCTCTCTTAATTGGTCAGTTTGCATGCAATAACATATAATTTAATAAAACTGCCTTTAAAGGGCATTTCATAATGAATTTTGGGTATGTTTGTTCAACTGGTTTTGCATCCTAATTCAATTTCTAGATAAATGTTAGGAAAATTCCTCCCAGACAAAATTTTGCTAGTAAGCTTATGCTGGATTTTCATCCAACCAAAGTAATACACACTTAAATGGAGGGAAAAAGAGGAGAGAAGTGACCATGGGGAATGCTCCACAGGGAGAGGCAGGAGGCAGAAAGTGCTGGAATGCCACAGAGGAGCATGACCATTATCCCTAAGGGATGGACCCCTGGCTTAACCTGGAAATTGGCCTTCCTCCCTGCAGCCCCAGCGCTTAGAAACCCCCTACAGAGCTAAACGGGGCTTGTGAAACCCCTTCCGTCTGGGGTCCTGACACAGGCTGTTCTCCAAAGAGCAGATCCTCAAGGCCTGAGGTTTAGTTCTACCCAGTCAATGCAGCAAGGATGGGTGGACAGGCTACTCTTGAAAGTCACAAAGTAAATTTAATGCTTTCAAAATGCATAAGACCAGCTGAAGATTCATCATGCAGGCTTCTGAAGACAGTAAACAGACTTTCATCTGTGACCATTCAACATATTTTTAAAAGGTATTTTATTGGTCGTGTGGCTATTGCAGCACACAGGTATAACCAGCATGCGTTTTGAGAACGAGAGAGAGAAAAAATTCTACAAAACAGACCTATTAACCTAGCAGTAGTGTCTGATCAGACAAACACCCTCTCTGCAGGAGGAGCCTGGCAGAACATACACAGCACAAAACCACCAGATCGAAAGCATACGTAGTGTGGATGGATATTAATTTCAAAATGAAACCAAGTCCCAGGACAGCAATGGCCATGAAGAAAGCATGACCATGCTTTGTGTTGACACCTACTAGCATGGCACAACGAAAGCTGTTCCAAGTGAATCCCTTCCAGAAAAGCCCAAACGGCTCCTTCCTGCCGAGTGAGCACATCTTCCATCAGCAGGTTCAGTCCGTCCTGTGACACGGTCACCCTCGTCCCACAGTGTGAGCAGGGCCACCTCGTAGTGCAAATGGCCAACGAGACAGGCCCAAGCAACCAGTCCCCACACTGGCTTGGCATCAAGCCTCAGCTGACACTGGAAATTTGTGTGGCACTTGCATAAAACTGGGGGAACTCTCAGCTGAAATACACTCTTATGAGGAGCTTTTCAGACGCTTTCCTGCACAGAGGAGTCTTGATTTTTTTTGCTAGCGCTCAACCTATTGAAGGACCTACAGAGTGATTCACATATTAACTGTAATCATACACAACAGAAACCCCAAGAAACAGCCCACAGACATTTTTATTAACCAGTTTACATCATTTATGTAGATTAACACTGTTACATCGTTGTCCTTACACAAATTCAGGTTTTGGTTATTTTTCCTTAACAGAGTTTCTTTTGGCTACGAAAATAATTCACCACAAATAAGAAACCCATTAAGATACTGCTGACACTATCAAACAAAATACACATCTGAGTCTGCAGTCAGCTCTGCAGACAACCAAAGAACAATTTCTGCAGTTAACTTGCTCTCAGGAGGTGTTACATTAACCGTGCTGGAAAATTGCAGGCCAGATTCAGCAGAGCTCTGAAGCACAGCATCCTAATTTTGTGTCAGTGGAACATAAAGATGTGCTAACATGTTTTGTTGAATTAGAGCCTAAATCCTCTGTTTTTTTCTTTTCACGCAGAATTGGCTTGCTGCAGTTAGCTGGGGAGCAGCTTGATCTGCATCACTGCATTGGTGTCGCTCACCGTGAACATCAAGAGAGCACTTCCAAAGGGAAGGGAATTTCATTCTGGCCATTCCTCCTTTTTTCTTTATTTCCTGAAACTTGGCTGAGAATATGAGGACAATGTGGTTATGGCCTGGCTATGGAGTCTGATATCTTCATCAGAAAATGGCAAAAACCACTCAAATAACTCTTTTTATGTGCCCCACCAGGCAGATAACAACCGTTGTGCATTTGGTATCACTAGGCCACATAAAGACAGGCTCATATATGTAGCTATCCACAGTCCTAAAATTCTAGATCAAAGATACTGCCATCAGCTGCATTAGGCCTACTTTTAGGGATCAGTTTTGAAATTGCAAAGAATTACTATGACAGTTTTCATATTATTTTACAATAAAATATTCATGCCAGCTTAATGAAACTGGAAGACTCCTGCATGTTGCTTGCAAGGGCGGCTTGTTTAAGTGTTCAGCTGGCACTTTTGCGGGGGGCTATCCTCTCATTAATCCAGTTTACGTAGTTAGTCACTCGCGTGTACACTCCAGGTCTGTTGACTCTGCCACAGCCATCTCCCCAGCTGATAACTCCATACAGATAAGAGATCTCATCTTCATCACAAGCCAGAGGTCCGCCAGAATCTCCCTGTGTCAAAAGGAAGGGAAGATTATCTAAACTGATAGAAAATAATTGGAAAAAGATCAGCTAGGCAAAGTCCCAGGAAAGACTCACTGGAAAAGATAATTTATGTTTCTGACTTCTACAGTGTGATTCTAATTCAAAAAATTTACCTTCTTGTAGCCATGCATTAAATGAAATTACAGATATGATTAAAACAAATTCAATTATAGTGATTTCTAACAGTCAAGCTTCAGTAGACCCGTGTTTCCACATCCAATTTCATATGCAAACATTCTCAAGTATGATGGGGATTTTTTTTATTCCACATTGAACAGAGGTATCAACATACAGATTTTAGAAAATACACTTTTTGAAACACTCTTAGATGCCTACTGCAGAGCACGGATGACTTCACTCAGTTTCAATGGGAGTAAGTCAGTCTTTGGGGCTAACACTTTAAACTGTCATATGGATGGATTACCTATGGCAGGGAATATTAGAATAGCTGCTCAGTGTGCTGAAACCCTCAGAGACCATGAAGGTGTTCAGAGAGCTGTTGCATACACACACACACTTCTCCATGGAACTGTGATATTGCAATTTTATGTGGCCTATGCTCAATTTTGTATGTGATTGAATGAGATGCTACTGCACATCTAGAGTGATATTGAAAGCATAAACCAAAAATAAGACCACACCAGTATTTTCTGACACACTGAAGTATGAATTTGCAAATTGCAGTCATTCAGAGAAGACATTCTTTTTTTTTTTTCTTCCTCTTAAACTATCGTTTCATTGAAATGGAAGTGTTAGAAATGAAAAGGAAAACATGACTTAGTAAGCAGCACTGGTAAAAGGAGCCACCCTTCTAGTTGCTTGAAATGAAGAAATTCAAAAATAAATTTCTCTGAGAGCAAAGCAGAAGGAAGAAATGTGTTGCCCTTATAGAAGGAGGTTTCTGTGATAAATGAGGGACATCATAAGCAAACTTGTCTCTGAGATTAATTTACTTCTCAGGACCTTGCTTATTACTCCATAACTCAGAACTACCATTGATTGCAAATTCTAGATCAATTCACTGATTTAAAAAAAATAAATCTTACCAAGAAAGATCTTTAAATATAATCAGGTAGAACACATTGAATACTTGGTATCTATTGGTTTGAAATATTTTTATACATAACACATGGTTTATAGCTTAATTTCCTGAGCACACATTAAGAAAATTCAAAGGTCAGCTACATTTGCTGTGACATGAAGAGGTCTACACTATTGCTATTCAGACCACACAATAAGTCTGCTGGTAAGAAACAGAAAGAACTATTGATTCTCCTAATAATGACTAATAATGATTTCAGGTGATGAGCACTGTATTACAGCAACATCTATGATGCTAAATCAGTGTTTCTCAGACTTTGCAAGTTTCTTCAAATCACTTGTCCTTGTACAGCTGCTCTCTCTCTCCTTCCCTCATTCCTCACCTTTCTCTCTCCTTCGTTCCTGAGCAGCTCTGTTTCTTCAGGACGGGGAGTGAGAACCAGCTACAATACTGAACACCTGTATTATGTGCTGGCAAAGCAGTGAAGACTGAGCAAGGGCGGCAGTTTCCAGCTCTCTAGCTAATTAATACAAGTGTTTACAGCCAGTGGTGACAACCAGCTCTTGCCCTGGTCTGCAAACCCCGAGCCAGTGCTCTCTGCTACCATTTCACTCCCGACACCTTTCTTGGGACACTTACGATAGCTCTGGGGGTTCCAGAACACAACAACATCATATTCTTTACTTAATCTCATTGCCAAGTATTAGGCAAGTGTTGTCTGTTCCCCAAATTACTGCTAAAGGAGAAACTCTTCTCCAGCAATGCCAACTACAGAGACAATTGAAGGTTTATCCAAATAACGGCCTGATCCTTATCGAGCCTCCCTGAGAGCCAGAGTGTGACACAACTGCAGAAGAGATGCAAAGCAGGAAGAAGCGGTTGTTCCGTGAAGGGTGGGAGTCGTGAAATGCAGTCTCCAACACATTGACATGCCACCCTGTTAAAACCACTCTAATATCCTCAGCTCCTTCCTCCTCCAAAGCCCCGCTGCTCCACACCTCCCACCCAGGTATCCTTATTTCCAGGCAGGCAGGAGGCAGCAGCACCGGCGCTGGCTCCGCGCGCTGCCAGCTGCCGCCCGAGCGCTGCCGTCACGTTGCCATCTCCCAGGCACAAGCACAGGCAACTCGCCTCCTCTGTGGAGGTGGCTTATGTGCAGCTAGGAGGAATATAACGTCCTGGGGGTTTTTGACCCTCTCTGGAACTTAGTTGACACTGAGGGGGTTAAAAAATCACAGTGGAAGCAAATGCTGCTGTCACATACATTTCCTTGCTTTAGGAAACAGAGCTAAAGAGTTAGGTATCACTGTAATGTCAAAAGGCAGTACTGTAACGCTGCAACATACCTTGTGATAATACACACGAGTCAACTGCAGACAGCAAATTCACAACATTACCTGGCAAGCATCAGTCTCGCTATCGAAGTATCCAGCACAGAACATATTTTCACTGATTTCTGTTCCATAAACTTCAGGGCTCCTGCATTTTTCCTCAGAAATAATTGGTACCAGACTTTCTTGCAGGGTATGCGAATAACCAGATATATCTTTACAAATTTTCCAGAGAAGGGTTAAAAAAAATATATAAAAAAGATGGGTGAGAAGCAGTATTTCCTTCTTTTCACCTTTCTTGAGCTGGATGTTGTGCTGCTTAACCCAAAGTCTAACTGCCCCCTCCAATGGATGTTTTCATAGTTTCCTGCCTGGTGAAGGTAAAGATCTCCGCCATCGTTGGCTTTTGTTTAAGTAGATTGTGGTTGGTTTGTGCTCGTCAATATCCACCTTGAGAAACCAGGGGTAGGATTCACTGCAATAAATGCAGGTATGTATGGCGTTGGTACCCACAACTAGGCTACTTACTGTGGGCTCCCCTCACACTCCACCGAGACCTACTGAGTTGACAACTCATCTCAGCCTAAAATAGATGCAAACATTTGGTCAAATGAAGCACCCTCCAGGGTTCAATGACAATTAAGGTTATGTTCAGAATGACCATTTCAGAGGTAACTATTGTAAGCATCTAAAGGCAGGGAAAATGAATCCCAACAGAGGTCCCTTCAAAGTATTTTCTGAAACTCTAAATTGTATAGCATATTCTTGAGCATAATGTTTCATTTAGCATCATTTTTCCCCCCAACATTGAGTGTGTCATTAACTCACTCTCATGCTTGTGTCCCCATCCGGAAATCTGACATTTGTGCTGCTCAGGGAAAACGGTGTTACTTTCTGGTAAGCAGATGGGCTGGACAAACTGGGACTTGACGGCACAACGCTGGCCATTCTTCTTCAGCTTAATCAAAACTGCAGAACAGAAAATATAGGCGGAATAAAGAGACTATTCTCTTTTTTTAATGGGATTGGCAGCAATGGGTCTCAGATGCAAGTTTAATTATCCCCTAAGCTTCTCTTAATTAAGATATTTCAGTCAAAGACAGACAGACTCATTTCAACAGCACCTGATTTCACAGTAAATTGAAGGCTGAAACATTCAGCTCCTCCACTTGTGGGAATATTTGTTTTATGCTGCACTTGCTGAGTAGATTTTGCTTCACTGCCTTTGCGGAGAATGGGGGAGAGAGAGAATATGTATGCCTCCTCCTACCTTAAAGTTAAGTAACAGTGACAAATCCACAGCTTCAGCTGAAATCAGTGGGATGTGTAAATGCTCACTGTTTCTGGAAGTCTGGGCACATGCCTAATTCCAGTTTGATTTTAAAACATAATTACTGAAAGAGCTGATGTAATTCAAACTCCTTGTTATCACTGAGTTCAGCAAAATTGATGTTGTTTAAGGAATGAAAAAAAGGAATGAAAAATTAGGATATTTCGAAACCAAGCTTCTGGAAATGATAGAGAACTATGCTACTTCCATAACCTTTCTTCTGTCCTCGCAGGACTAAAATCAGCAAAACCTGCAGAATCTCTGGACCAGCCCTGACTGGTCAAGGGATTATCTGAAACATTTTTGTAGAGCTCTGCATGCCTCATGAGATAATTTCAGCAAGTTGGGTCCCTCTGGGAGATGGAGCACTTATCCTGGACCTGTACACGTGCCCACTGCACCTCACTGCACTGGGGGAAGGATGGGCCAGTGGTCAGGCACACTTGTGAGGAGGGAGGTGCATATAGTCTAACAAGAACATGTCATATGGAGTTATCCAGCATCATGAGCTTGACCTGAAAGGAGACATCGGAAGTAGTAGAAACACTGGTCCTCTGTAGAGGACCGCTTGTATTTGGCTGCAGAGCAAGTGAGGGGACTTTGTGTTTGGTGCAACACAGGCGCTTGTCCAATTTTCACACCCTCCTCGGAGGTGGCCAAGCTGAGGTAACACAGGCACACATGACACATCAGACTTCGTGTCATGGCTTTCAGAAGCCAGGGATTTTCTCAACACAGCTGCGTGGATAGCAAGAGATGCTGCTGCCCAGTCTCATTTCTCTGCTGGCAGGATTTGTTGCGTGCATGTAAACAGTATCTCACAGAGCAAGGAGCCCACGCAAGGTGCACTTCAGCACTCAGCAGCTTGCTCTTCCTCACCTCCTCTCCCTTCCTCGCCAGTTCTGCCCCCTTCCTCTTTGCTTCCCAGCAAACACTCATGTGGTGGCTGGTTGCCCTTTGCACAGAAGTTTCAGCTCCAAATAAATCTCCTGTTGCACTGCCAGAGCACAGTGTGCCTCCTTATTTTCTTTTCCTTCAGATTTCTGCCTGTGATCAGATCGTTAGTTTTCAAATGGAATTTTCAAATGTCCTAGGGTCTCCACCTTCAATCAAGCCCAGAAGTGGGTGCTCCACATCTGTGAGACATGCCAGATTTCAGAGCAATTAAGAGAGCTATGGGATCTCAAAGTACCAGCTTTGATTTACAACAGGATAGTTCAGAGCAGAGTAATACCTCAAATCATGTTCATTTCATGCTATTCTGGCAGACCTCCCACAAACACAGCATCTGAAGGCCTTTTGCTCTACAGTCAGAAATATTCACCATCCAGGAGCAAAAAGACAGTATGTTCCTGACCTAAGATATCCCCATTGCCAGGCAGTTAAATACTCTCATACGCAGAGCGCTCACACTCGATACCCTGGGGAGAGAAGCCAGCTTCCATAAGAGCAGATCAGGAAAAACGAAGCAGGTTTCTCTTCTATTGTCATTCTGACTAATGCTGTAAGGCCAATCAGAAGGGCATTTAACTTCTGACTGATAAGAAGACTGATTTTTAAATCTCTCTCTTTAGTACAAAAAAAAAAATGATTCCTAGTAACATAGCTTTTTGGAGCAGATGGGGCTATTATATTCATCTAGTCAGATCCTCCATACAATACAGACAATAGCATTTTACCAAGAAATTCCTGCATCAAGCCCACGGTTTTTGGTTCAGTTGAAAAAGACGCCCAATCCCACAAAGGCTTGAAGTGATGATGAATCTGCCATACATCTAGGTAAATTGCTCCAATGGCTAATTACCATAATTATTTAAAATTTGCAATTTATTTCTCATCTGAATTTGTCTAGCTATCAGATGCTGCTATAATTCTGGCGGAACTAAGAACCCTCTGCTATCAAAAGCCTCTCCTAATGTCTCAATTTTTTTCACTGTGAAGGCTGTTCTCAGCAGAACAACTGAAATAAAAATTAAGTCGACTAAACAGGATATAGTGTTGTAAGCACAAAAATACTCACCAATATCGTGGTCAGTAGGGTTGAACACAGAATACTCAGGATGTAAGACATATTTCTCTATTTCAAATGTTTGCGTTACATCAGTCGTTTTATTAAATATATGCTGACCCAGAACTACTCTAATAGTGGATTTTGGTGGGCTATAATATAAAAGAAAGAACAAGCAATTGTGTGATTAACAGGACAAATACAATCCATTTTTCACTTGCTGCATGCCCCATGAACTATAATAACCTCATCTCCCCACCACATCCATTATATTACTTTCTAAAAATACCATGACCTGTCTCCTAGGCTGCCTACCTGCTACCAACCAAGAAAAAAAATCTGTAGTTTTATAAGGAGACCTAGACTCTGTGGGTCCTGATCAATCTAGTGAAGGCTGCTGTTTCTTGGCAGAAAGAAATAACCCAAATATCCTCTGCCAAGCTGCTCGCAGAGCAAGTACCTCTTGTACCAGCAACTTATTTACCTATATTGACCAGGCTTTGCCAATACATACAAAAATTAAGGAAGATGAGAGACCAGAAAACTAGCCAGTGGTGGATTTTGCTAGGAAAACAGGATTTTAAGGATACTACAGGCATGGTCAAGACTTTATAATATGGGAAACCAACACTGTGGGAACATCTGGGCAGCATCCACCTAATAGCTACCAGCTATTTGGTGCTCCTATTAAATTGATCAGTGTTACATCTGCTGTCTAGGATCATGAAGAGCTTGGTGGAGAAAGGTCTCAACAGCACGCTGATCTAGTGGGAAAAAAACACATTCGGAGGAGAGTCTGGTATTTTTTTTTCATGTAAATTTTCAGCCGTTTTTTCATCTTTTTTTTCAATTGTTGATTGTTTACTTTAAAAAAAGACCACAGTACTGTTATATCCACTATCCCAGGATGGACAACTAAGGGGAACCAGTAGAAGTGCTGGGAAGAAAGGCAAATTTGGGAAAAATCAGGAAGAGTTTGGAAAAGTAGCCAAATCTGTAGCTTTGAAAACAATTTGGGGCCTGTTAAACAAAGTGGAAGTTTGCCTCCCAGGACAGTGCTTAGAATAGATTGTAAAGGCACTGCTATGACTGCCTATGAATCGATGGTGAATCATTCGGGAAAAGAGAGAGAAAAAATAAGGAGGAGTTACAAAAAGGGAAGAAAATAAAAAGTTATTTGCACAGGTATCTATTGTCGCCTAGCGGAAATAGTTGAAACTGTGGCTAACTCGGAGGTGCTACCCAAGCCGAAGAATGCAAATTATAGTGCAGCAATTAGGGAAAATCTGTATGTACGAAACCACCAGCTGTAAGTGGGTGGAAATGTCCTGAGCAGCTGCCAAAGTTAGTAGCTATTTCACAGCATTTGAACAACAAATGCATTGTGGCTGGAGCTGCGAATGCCTGAGCACAGCATTCACGGTGGTATTATTAGCTCTACCAGCTAGCGGGGTATGTAGCCCGGCATGAGGTTTTCTGTTTCTCTTGGCTTCTTTACAGTGCAAAGGAACAATGGGTATGAAATGATGTAATATTTTTTCCCATCAAAATGACCAAACTGAACTCAGGAAAAGTGGGGAGAAATAAATACTTGAAATAAAATAAGAGGATCCTATAGTCAATGTTTTCTCCAGTGTTCTACCAGCTTGCAGAAAAAAAAAATCCCGCAATTTCCTGCTGAAATTCAGCAGGGGTTCAAATCTTCCATTTGGCACTTGGGAAAACTCAGGCCGTTCTATTTCTGTTAACCAGCAGTAATTTATTGTCTGTAATAAATCACTGTTTGGCTGCTTCAGCCTTTCTGAACAAAACACAGCAATGAGAGTAGGCATCTTGCATCTCTGTTGTACCTCAGGGCAGGCATGAGCATGCAGACAGGTAAGTGCAAGGAAAGGAAATAAGCACTTCCCCACCATAGATGCTGATGTGTGTGCAAGCTCCTGTTCTATACCCAGCCATCCTCAGACCCAGCACTACCTTATTCCTTTAATCAGATCACTTAACTGCACCAAGGATCCTTAATGAGCAAGTTAAAAGCTAGTGGGAGAATAGGTCTCCAAGGCCTTTGTCGGTTTATGAATTGCACTCATATTGCCAGTAACTGCTTTGAAACATAACCTCTTCTTCCTCATTGTCACAATTCAGGTCCGTTGTGATTCATAAGCAGTTTGTGACTATGAGGTGGGAGCCTACTAGTTTACCTGTTAGCAAAGCAATGTGCTGCTGACACCACCCAGCAAGTCTGAATAAGGCTTCCACCACAGAAACTGTCTCCAATGTATATAGCTGCTGTCCAGGGATGAGATCCAGGCAAAGATGAAGATCCCCCAACAATCCTGGGTCTCACAAAACTTCTTTTTTTGTGCCTTCTCCCACATGGTCTTCTGGCAACTGCAAAATTTTCCACATTATCTGGAGCTGGCGGCCTCCTTTCCCTGCTTGCTAAAATATAAATGGGTATGGTATCAAACAGTAAATCCCAGTGATTTTTAAGGACTGGAGCTTCCATAGGAGTCTTTAAAATGAAGACTCATTAAATTATCATTAAATGTTCACATGCAACTGAGTATGACTCAGGAGGAGAGTTGCAAGATTGAAATCAATGTCTTGTCCAAACACTTCGGCTACATGTATGTTTGTATAAATTAAATGTGCCTGGGAATGTATACATTCAGGCACTGTTTCATTTACCAGTACAGATATAACCTTTATTACTGTTGAAGACACAATGCACGAAACAGCATATCTTCATTTTCACATGCTGGACTGAGCTTTGTCATTCTGATGGCAAGAAGGAACATGACTGAGTTAATGTCATCACTCATGTGTATGTAAATCATAAATGTGGAATAAAAGGACTGACTTTTCAGATTACAACTCCAAAGGCCTGCTTTAACAACAGCTAAATATCGATCTAGGCAAAGAGCAGACTTCTGTAATTTGGGGAGTTAGAATTCTTTATGTCATATGCCATCAGGATCCAGCCCTCTCATAGAGGCCCATTCCCTTCCCTGAGCCTACTTCTCTGAGGAGGAGCAGTTTGTATCAAAACATCATTCATTTCTGAAGTTTCATGTGTTCTGGCAGAAATTCTGGTAATATTGGGATGATTTTGGTCATTGAATTGTAACAGGGTAGTGTGACACTGCTGTACACCATAAAAAAATCATGTTTTGTCATGACACCGGTCATGCAAAAGCAGCTTGCTTTGGCCTTTTACTGCAAACAGTAAAACTTGGTTTACTGCAAACAGCAAAATACTAAACATACTGAGGGCCATAGAATATTCAAAATTATACAGTGAAAACTTGTTCTATTATTAGTAAATCTTCATTAACTCATAACATAGATTTTAAGACAACTTCTACATACCACAAGATTGAATGTTACAATATTCCCAAGACAAGCTGTTGTCCTTCATGATGTAACACCATGGTTTCTCATCCTCATCTGGATTTCTGGTTAATTTAAGGGGAGAAGAAATTACAAGCGTTAACCACAACATTGTTCCACACTTCCCAGATGTTTTCTGTGATTTCTCTTGGATGGGGCAGAGGGCTGACAGGATGGCCAAGCGCTGAGCCATCTGAACCTAGCCTAAAGAAGCTCCCCTAAACGGGTTAGTAGCCTTTCAGTAGGGTTACTCATGCTTAGAGATAAGCTTGTTAAGCATTTGGTCAGGGGCCAGATTTCTAAGGTTGTTCAGGGCCTAAAATGCAGACACATGACTCAACAGCAATAAAATTTTCTTACAAGTATTTGGATGCACAGGAATGTTCACATGGTTCAGTTGCAGCCCACACTGAAGTATTTAGCCGATTTCAAATCAGCTATTTTCAGGACTAAATCCCATGAGGGAGATTCCTTTTTTAGATGATTTTTTAAAATGAGGAAATTCCAACACAGGTAGATTCATAAAAAATGCATAACAAGAATAACTAGCAAAAAAAAATTGAGATGTTCAGGTTCATGTTCCCTGGAGAGTCGGTGGAAGCACAAGACTACCTCAAGAAAATATTACATTCCTCAAAAGCATTTTAAGGAGGAGGAAAAAAAAAAAAACAGAATCAATTTAGCTCTTTGTTACTTTTGTGCAAAATGGGTCTTTTCACCGATTCTACTCATTTTTTCCTATGGTATAGCAAAACTCTCTTTACCAGTGCTGCAAAGTAGGTAATGAGAAATTTGCCCAATTTACTTACTGAAGTTACTAACCCAAGGAAACTTTGAAGACCAAGTAGGATCTTCAGTATGACCAAAAAATAGACAAGGTAATTCAGAGCTCCAGATAAATAGTAATTCTAATTTCAGTTGGAAGCAGTATCTGTTATTTTAAGGTTCTTCTTCTTTTTTTTTTTCCTCTTTTCAATCTGATTGCTATTCAGAAAAAGATTAAAGCAATTTCATATTTTGAGAACTGAAGAAGCAATACAGGTTGAGTCATCTTCCACCAACAATGTTTCTAAATTAGACTATTTGAAGAAGGAGATCTCTCCTGGATTATATAGTATAGCAGAGAGAGCCCCAGAAAGTGACAAAAATGAAAAGCTTTTATTCTCAGCTCTACAGAATATGATAACATCAGCTCCAACACCATTTAATTCTTTGCATTTCAAATCTGCAAGGGAATATGGTGCAAACTGAGGGGATCAGGACTTATCAGAGCACGAAATATGTGCCCCGTAAATTGCCATGCTCTACAGGGTTACTGTGAAACTCATATTTAAGCACTAGAGACAGGCATGAGCGTTGGAAACTAAGCCAGTCTGGATTTAGAGAGGATATAGGAACTGTTCATTAGCTTGTTTTAGATCACAGAGAAGAGCAGCTTCTTTGAGCATTCGTGCTTTCTGCCACCAGACAAATTAGGAATGTAGTGCACTACATCCTGATCCTCCTGAAATACTAGTTTGCCTTCTACACACACACAAAATACAGATCAGCCAGTAAGTTACGGAGAAGCATCTAAACCTCGCCTTTTCTAACATTTGCTCATCTCCAGAATTTACTCTAAATGGAAACATTTCCTTTATTTATGGCTATCCATTGATGTTATAAAGATCTCGTAGACTGGAGGAGCATAAAATGAGGGAAAAAAAGCCTATATATCACCTTCTGATTATAACTGTGCAGAAAGCTTGAGTAAAAATGTAATTTCTCATCTGTGCAGATCCATCAAGATCAAAAGACTGTGAAATTGTATTTTGCAAGAATTTAGTTTTGGAAGAAATCCGAGAAAGAAATTTGATGTCCCATTTTGACATTATGTAAGTAAAGTGTTTTGATTTCTCATTCTGAAATAACTTTTCACTTTCAAAATAGTTTTCTTTTCCTTCCTATTGCATAGTTCACAACTTAAGATTCTGAAATAAAAAATTAACCATTTCAGTCTGGCTAGTGTGATTCTTTCTCCATGTGAATATATGGTGATGAACAATTTCAAAATATTTGAGGTATGGTGCCATTTGGAAAAAAAATGGGGAAATGGTGACTAGCCTTTTCTTGGGAGACCCAGCTTTTGATCTAGCCTATCTAGCCAACCCAATCTTCTCCACACGTACATCCCTGGTGTCAGGCTGCTAGAGTCTGGCTTTTCTAAGACATGGAAAACACCTGCTTGGATATTCGTGGCCCTCCTCTCTGCCAAAGCTGCTCCCTCGATACATCCATCTCTTGTCTCACAAAGCGCAGGACAAACAAGAACTTTCCTCACCTGCAGTAAGAGAAAGGTCCCAAGCCTAAGAGAATTGCTTTTTCCACACTGTCAGCGTGGAGCTCTCGGTAAAGTAAATCTGAATTCCAGGGCAAGCAGCTGTGTCCAGAAATTGTTGTCTTTGCAGTACCTCTGTACTCTGTACCATTGCCAACGTAGCACCGATGGCTGGGAACTGGCAAGACAGAGCACACTGGTCAGCTTAAATAAACACTTCTCTCTTGTCTGAGGCCCCCAAAGAGGGCCAACAGGCCCAATTCTATAGCACCTTTTACCTTTTGCAGGAATTTGTTCCAGCAAACCAGAACTTAAAAAAATGTGAGTTCATTTTAAGCAGTAGTTTAACATGAATAGTGAGTTAGCCCCATTTCACACATGCACAAATAACTATTTTACGTGCAATATGGAAGAGAATTTGACCTAAATTTTTTACTGTGTATGGAAGAGTAGTCGGCAATCTGCAGCAAAGTCAGCAATATGGTTGGGATTCATCTAGACTAATTTTAGGCACTTACAACTCAGCTCAATACTGGAGACTCCCTTCTCAGGCAACTCAGAGAAACAGGCATTTCTAGAGCAAAACTGATCTAGCCTGTTTTAGGCAACTTTTTAAAGATGAGACGAATCTTACCATATACTCTTGACTACGTTGAACAGGTTCTCCATTGACAATAAAGGGAATTTATGTCAAGGAACTCACATAGAGATGGCTAATGTATAAAGTAGCCCAAATAATCCTGCCCTGCCAGCAAATGCTTTAAAAGTCTGATTTTGGAAGATGACTTTTTTAATAGCCTCAAACAAACCTGTATACAGCATGTGTGCATACATACACACATAAATATATATACACACCCACGCACTCATATATACTCATACACTCATATATATTTAAGTTCATGCTTACACACATGCATATTGCGAATATATCGATTTCACAATAGTTAAGCTAGTTGGTTGAATTCCCTTATATAAAACCTGTTTCTTTATTACCTGTACATAGGGTATTTCTTCAGATAGGTCTCACATATATATTCCAGGACCTGTATATTCAGCTGCCAAGATCTATCAACGGCACATACCAGCATTATGGCTGAAAAGCATGTGGGGATGCACTTGTGTACAAATAGCTGCACTGAGCTGCACTGAGAAAGCCTACCCTCAAAACACAGCTCAGATTATTCCAAAGGAAACACAAAACCATCTAAAGTACAAAGAGGATTAATGGTGAGCAAGCCCAGAGGGTTTCTTATCCCAGCCATGTCAGTGTGACTTATCCATGACATCTGCAGGACTGCTGTAATGTTCCTTTAAACATATAAACATGCTTAAATATATAACACCATAATGCTGCTTGGCTGTTGAGAAACAAACTGCGAGGATGAGCTGTCACAACCCCCAGCGTGGACAGCTATTGCCAAAGATCTGTTTATTTTGACAGAATAAGGTGACGTGGGAAATGGGGCATGTAACTAGCACTGAACAAGTGAATTGCAGCAATAAACGGCTGAGGTTGATTATCCTTCCCAGTCATCAGTGCAGCAACAGATCTCAAAATTACAAGCAAGCACATGGCATAAATTTGGGAGCTGGATGTCAAGGACACTGGTGCAGGAGTTTAATGTGAGCTAGCAGGCAAACAGGTGGCAAAATTGTCTTTCTCACCTGGCTTGGCAGACGCTTCTGAGATGGTGGGAAAACCTTTCCTGATCCTTTAATTAAAATTCCTTTTATTTCAATAAGGGTGAACATAATATTAAAAACAAGCACATATTTTAACAACCATTATCTTAATAGAGCACACTGAAAAGAGCTGTCTTCCATTTGCATCTCTAGTAATAGCAACCATTTCTTGGCAACGTTGCCACTTATTTTCTGGGCAAGTCGCAAGTTAAGAGGCTCTGTTTGCCTGTCATGAAAATACCACCATCATGCTGTATGCTAAATTCTTTCATTTATCCAGGGAAATGCCAGGTGCTGTTTTTATTTGTACTGTATTTATTACATTCCAAAATGATTTAGTGTCGCCTACATTAGGGAGGATGAAACAAGAGATTCTGTTTCGATGCAGGATCAGGGCCATGTTCTGCAACACCAATGACTTGGACATCTTGCAGATGGTGTTTACAAGTTGTGCTCAACCTTGTCAGCCTTAAAATCCAATGTATCTCTGTTTTTGCAAGTTTGCCAGTCAGTTGCTGCAGCTGCCAGGAGATTATAACTGGAAAATTTTGGCCCTTTCCAAATCATCCCTCATGTTCTCCTCCTGTATTGAAGAAGTCTGGCTCATGTACTGAACTTGCTGAAAGCAACAGGAATAGCTCTCACACAGTTCTTTGTCTTTGGTTTTCTAATGAGTATTTTGGGAATAGAGCAACTTCATCTCAAAACTTGTGGAGAAACACTCCGGCTAAGTCAGTCATGAGCAGCTCTCTATCGGCCTGATTTTCTCCAGCAACCTGCATGTGACAAGCTTGCAGAAGCACTCCCAGATCCACAGCACACCTCATTAAAGGGCACCTCATTATGTATTTAAGGCTATTAAAAATATACCCAAAGCCTAATACATATCATCATCCGTAACAGAGGACAAATGGCTCTTAAAAAAAATAATAAATAAATAAAACAACTCTGGAATGTTTGCAGTTCCATAGCCCTTTTTCTTCTAATAGTCGTCTTTTTTTTTCCCAACTGTTGAAGTATCAAAAAACCTCTTTTTCCACCTTTGTCAGAAGTGATGTGTAGGTGGTCTGCTTTCAGCAGTTCTAATGGATTGCTCTGGCTGGGAATTGTTCTTTCTGAAGTCTTATAGCTTCAGCGGCTTCTAACAACTCCGAAACATATTTATTTTCTTATGCAAAGGAAAGTGATGGAAGGTAGAACATGCATATTCTTCTCGTCCATTCACTTCTCTTTGGTGCTGCCACTCAACGATAGAGTGGAAATGGCCTAAAATTTCAGAGGGCATTTTCATTTCACAAAAATCTAGCTGCAAGTTACTCTGCAGATCTAGGTCAATATCTTCTTTTTAAAATAAAAAAGAGATGTAAAACTAGAAATAATTCTCTTTTATGTATTATTTTTGAAAATCCCAGAGAGTTTAAATAGCTGGCATCAAATATCTTCATTGTGTTGGGATGGCATATTTTGTCAGAATATCACATCAGGTTTTTGTGTTGATTTTTCAGCAAAAAGCACTTCCAGGCCTTTAGCAAATTAAAAGTAAATTTAAATAAAACTTATGCAACCGGTTCTAATTGCTGACTTCCCGAAAACATTTAACAAGATCTTTCTGCCACCAAATTTTATTTCAAGTTCTGTAGTTATGTACTTGAACATTTTTATGAATAACTTTAGGATTTTTTTTTCTGTAGAAAGCAATGCATCTTTGTTTTGCTTTGCTTTCCCCCAGACATCCAATCAATCATTTTGCTAATGTTTGTGAGACTCGACTGTTTTTTTTTCCCAGCTACGGATATCACATATTCTGTTTCATTCTATTAATAGAAATGTTTGCGGGTTCTGGGTTTCCTTGTCTGTTTGTTTTTTTTCTCTGCTGGTGCTAATTCTGGAGCGGGACAGTTTCAAGCAACCTTTGCATTCATGCATAATATCTTGTCTTATCCCTGACAGACTTGTGATGCTTTTATTAAACACCATGTTAGCGTAATTTCTAGTACGTGTTGGAAGGGGGAAGAGGATAACAATAGAAGTTCTCTCTCTCCTCACAGCTTCCCTTGTATGAGATCTTCCCCAGTGTCTTAATTACCAGTTGTCCAGGTGAGAAAGCTCTTTAGAAAGTCATTGAACTCAAGTTTTGGTGTAACTGTGACCACAGGAAGCTCCCACTTGCCTAGCTGCAAGCCCAACTAACCACACGTCTGAGCTGCCCGTGAACGCGCCGCGGAAGGGAGGCTCCAGGGTTCCCCCAGGCTGCTCCTACGGGCGTCCGGCTACGCTGCGTAAAGCATTCACCCCTCTCAGGCATTACGAGGGCAGCAAGGCAGCAAGACACTCCTGTGTGAGATGCAAAAACCCCGAGAAACATTTGCATTTGCTCTTAATCACCTCCCCAAAGGAAAATTGCATTTACCTTCAGAATAAACTGTCATCTTGCAATTTGTTCATAATATATATACGCGTATATGTATATATATGTGTGTGTATCTATATATATGCATATAAATATATTTTTAGTATTTATATTTGGTCTTATGATTTACTACAACAGCAAATAATAAGTGTAACTAATTTCTAACAAATAACTAATTCATATTATGTGCTGCTTTCCAGTTTGTTGAATAGCAATATAACCTCCAGTCTGACAGCACCTGACATTGAAATAAATCCCTACTGGAACTACAGCCTGGTTATGAAACACACAATCTGTCTGAGCCAAAAACTATGTAGAAATACTGGAAAAAAATTGGCATCCCTTTGTAGTGAATTAAACATAATAGAAACTCAACATACAAAACAAGAATGGCTTTAGTCCTGGGAAAACAAAGTGATTTGTAAAGCATAAAAGACCTTTTTAAATTGCATCATAACTCCAGGAGATTGCACACTCCATTCATCACAGTGGGACTTATTAATATACTCCTACAAAGTATCTTCCTATCATTGCACTTACAAATACTTATAAGATGAACTGAGCAAAAATTGAAGAATTGCGTTTGTCATAAAAGCTACTGCACAAATTTACCTTCTCCTTTCTTAGTAGACCAAAACATTTCACTTAAAGTTTTCAGTCCAGAAACTTATAAACTCTACTGGCATTCTCTTATAGCTTAGAAGAGCAATATCCTAAATAACAAGAAGGACTGGTTCTTTTTTTCATTTCATTTTTCTAGTGACAATCTTGAATTCTAGCACAGCAGTTATGATTTACAGAGGCGATCAAAGAATCCAGGTATACAGACTGAAAAGGAGCAACATCTTCAGGAAATAGCTTGTCAATATGTAGGCAAAAGAAATCTTAGCAGACACAAACAGATCCCAGCACTATTACCTTGACAGGGAAACTACCTCTTGCGTGTTTTACCTCATGGGATTTTCAAAAGTATCTGAGTGCCTCATTTCCATTCAAAGCTGTCCTTCTTTTGAATGTATCTGTAGGTCTTTGTGTTTGGATCTAAAGAGCATGGTCCTGAGAACAAGTCATTTTTGTAGGCT